TGCTCTGCCCCAGGCTTCCTGGAATCAGCCGCTGATCAGTTTCAGCAGCAGCTGACTTGGGGACGCCTGAGGTTCTTAAGTTGAATCTGTATGTAAGTCAGAACTGGCGTCCAGATTCAGCCGTGGTTGAAACTGATCAGTTTCAGCCGCGGCTGATGCCAGTTCCGACTTACATACAGATTCAACTTAAGAACAAACCTACAGTCCCTATCTTGTATGTAACCCGGGGACTGCCTGTAAATGAGTTTCAATCTGTGATGCAAAAGGCGGCAGAACTATAGAAATCTGTCAAATCAAAGTGTCATTCAAGGTTATCCCATGTCAAGAATGGGAATATCAATATTCATATTTAGGAATCCTCATCCCTCAGAATCTAGACAGCATAAAAGAGATTGAGACAATGTGTACACTACACATTAATGTGGTATAATTCATGCTACTCAGGAGTGTGAATAATCTATATCCTAGTGTGATGTAAATTATACCATCTTAAACACCAGGGTAGACAGTGCTGTGTTGGCAGGAGAGCTCTTTGCCGATCATGTTGGAACATCTTCCCCAGAAATGCTACAACAGATAGGAAGCAGGTCTCTCCTTCCCTCCCTCGGGGAGTTAGGAATGTAGTCAGCATAGCCTCTGTCCTTTGATGCTGCACACCACCTCATTTCCTTCAATGGGTCATTTTATTGTATTCAGGATGGGGACTTTACCTTAATTAATATTTATTTTCCTGTTTGATGAGTTACACAATTACAGAGGTTTGTAACACAAATACTCAATATAACTTTATGCCATGGGCTATATAGGTTATAAGTGAATCAATAATGCAGCATCCTACAAATATTTTATAAGTCCAAACACGAGACACATTCGTATCACCTTAATATCTAATATCTATTCTAATAATGGCAACCCACAGGTAAGCAAGGCTGGTTTCCAGCCATGCTTTTGTAAGTGTTCAGTAAGATTTGAGGCACTGAAATGAGCTGCACTTAGTCTGCCTTCATCAGACCCATGCTGCATTTCTACCCCATCCTGACTAGTTGTGCCTCTCTGAGCACATTTGATGTGAGAGTAAAAGTATATGTGGGGACTTTTTCCCCCTTTCTTCTCTTCACAACCCAAGATGGTAATTGTGGTAGAATATTTGTGCCAAAAATTGAATGTGTAAAGAGATGGCTTCAGATTTGTAAGTGTTTTTTGCAAACTGGTCATATTATGTTTGGGGCATTTGCAATGGCAGAGAAGTTCAATTCTGAGGACCTAAGGACTACATAAAATGCCTACATAAAAACCCAGAGAGAAACTTTCTGAAAGAGATGCCACCAATTTTACCCAATTTTGATCAAAACCATTAACTGTGATAATACTGTGCACATCTTATGGACCACTTTCCATCCAAGGATCACAAAGCTCTTTACAAACAATTAAATAAGACTCTCAAAACATGCTTGACACAAGTGCATATTATCTTTGTTATCCACATAGGGCTGTGGAGTCAGAGAGTGTTCACATCACATCCACTGGATCTCAGAAAATGTCTATGATAAAGCCTAGAAGAGAACCAAAATCTCATGACTCTCATTCTCCAATTTTTGGCTACAATATCATTCATTTAAAAGTGAAAATGCTACTCTTAATCAGTGTGACTGAAACAAATGTTTGAGGGACACTTTAATATTAAAAAAAGCGAGGGATGTTACCAAAACAAAACCAACTATCCAAACCAGCGGTGGGAAATTTGTAGCCTGGGGGCTGCCCACAGCTCATTAGGGTAAGCCACTGGTGGGCCACTAGACAGCTGTTTACTTTGTGTCTGTAGATATGGCCACCTGCAGCTCCCATTGGCCATAGTTCACTTTTTCCAGCCACTAGTAGCTGCAGGAAATAGCAACCAGCAAGTCTCTGTGGCCCACTCTACTTCATGCAACTCCCATTGGCGGACAATGGTGAACCGTGGCCAATGGGAGCTGTGAGCAGCCGTACCTGCGGATGGAAGGTAAACAACCTGTCTGGTGGCTTGCCAGTGGCTTACCCTTATGAGCCATGTGCAGCG